TACTTCGCAAATGACACAAAGGTCTCAAGGTCTCCTCTTTTCTGAATTATTCCTCTGTTTTTTCAAAACCTTGGAGCCTCTTATTTCTGCTTCTGCTTCAACTTTCATTCCAATCTTAAAACTGGGAGAAAAATTGAGACCATTGTGCACACAGCCCTTCTTCATCCATGATGTTTTATCCATCTGATTATAAAATTTAAAAGGCTTTTTTCAGTGCAAGTATCTTCAAAGATTGTCTTGAATTACCACTAGTCGACTATCTTTGTATCTCCAGGTATTTTAAGTGTTGCCTATTTTCTCTTTAAATACATTAAAGATTCTTCTGGTACTACTAATGAAGAAAAAAAGTACATGTCCTGAACCAAACATTTATACCTACATCTTTGTTAGAAAATAAAATAAAATGAGGTTAGTCAGACTTTCAAACATTTTGATCAGGCAATATATATGGAGTAACATTATAAAATCGGACTTGAGGGATAGAAATTGCAGAAAGAAAGTCCATGCTGATGATGACAATGCATTGCATTAAAAATGAACTTCACAATAAAAGACATAACTACCAGATGTGGAAACTGCTTTTCATTTCTAGTGTAGGGTACTCGTACAAACTTTTATGCACTTTCATATATATGAAACAGTTCTGAAACCGTATTTGCAAGCTAGTTCAGATTCCGGGGGTAGTATAGGTGCATTCACATACCACTCCAACTGAGATGTAAAATCCTAAATTAAACAACACTGCTACAGAAGTTTAGAAGGACGAACACAACTGACAAAATCATCATCTGCATTTATCAGAATTAAGTGGTTAGGAACTTGTTGTTTGGAATTTTTATAATTCATATTTGTCTCCTCAAAACAAAAGATTTTCCCTAATTATTTAGGATTGGCCTACATGCATATTACTGGGCTTAACAAAGACACTACTGAAGATGAAACTTGTATGCTAGGAAGTGCATGAATAGGAGATGATGAATCACAAAAAAGAACTTTGCAAACAACAGGAATATATATTGCACTTCTCACGTAACTATTTTAGAGTGCCCTCTATTCTATTATGCTTTCTGAAAAGGCGGACAATTATTAATCCTACAAATATGCTGCAATTGCTTTTGACATGTGCTTCCTTAGCCATAGAAGAAGAATGCAAGAAGAAATCAATGAGAAAAAATTGCTGGGTAGAGTGAAATTGCCTTAGGGATTTTGTTTTATGTAATAAAACAGCCTAGGAATTCTATTTCTAAGCAAGATGTAGTATTTATTCATTTTTCAGGGACCTCTTGTAGTCGGCAGCCTTAAAATTTCACCTGTCTTAGAAGGGAACACATCTTTAGTGAAATCTTGATGTTCTTCAATGCACTATGCTTACAGAACAGTAAATACAGCATAAAGGAGGTGAAATAACCCCAGATTTTGTGCTCCCTTTGCAAGGCTATAAAATTTACTTTTAATACACTGAGTTTGAGTACTCACAGACTGGAGCTTCGGGTTAGGGGATCTGAACGAAGAATGACAAAAACATCAATTATGGCAGCTTATTCCTAAGACCATTTAAAATGCCCCCCAGACCTTAGTATAGCTTAGTGTGCTCTCAAGAGTCAGGTCCCCTAGCAAGGGATTATCAAACAACAGACAATCTCTGGAAATACATTCTTCTTGCTCATGCTAGGAATGAATAAGCTCAAAGGGAAAAGACCAACATAGGTTCTGTCTCCACTATCCATAATCTCCCATCTCACCCCATTCCAAGAGATAGGTCAACTGATATTGCACGCTGCAAAAAATTTATACTGTTGTGGAGCAAAAGGTGGGATGCAGGGGATGCAGTTTCACATTAGTCAGTTATCATCCCACTGAAAGATACTGCTAGGGAACGTTTTGCAAGGCAGCTGAGCTGTATGTAGAGAAACCAAGGCAGACTTCTTAGTAAACAAGTAGTATAGTCCCTTTTGAAGATCTATTCTAATTTGTTTTTAACTCCAAAGTTCTTTAATATGTAGTAAATAATATGGTAGTATAATATAAAACAAGACAAAAATGTTTTATTCATAGAGCTTTTGTACGTCTTGTTTACCACAGCTTTTCCTGTACTCAGTGCAGCTGGTACCATATGTACTGTCTTCTATGCTTTGTTGCTGTTTTCTAGTATTAAATACGTCCAAATTTTATAGCTGAGCAATAGAAGTTAGTAACATAGGTCTGATGCATAGTAATGAAGGTAGAACTGTGCATAATGGTAACACCTTAGTAAATAAATTAATATGTTTATGGCTAATGATAAAAAATATGAAAGACTAGACAAGAGTGAGGTCAGTCAGTGGTACCACAACATGGCTATAAGTGAGGACTATTCATAACCATTGAAAAGATATCTGCATGCTATTTTTCAGTCAAGTTATATCTCTCTTTTTGCTCTATTTTTTGCCTGAAAGCCTGAATAGATAGCAGTGCCTGACTGCAGAGGGTACATATGGGGATTTGGTCATAGTCCTTACCCAGTTTGGGTCTGCCTCCCACAGTTGTGTCTCTGACTAACGCAATATTTATTTATTTTGCTTCAGTCCCTGGTGCCCAGCTTATTCTCTATTTGGTTTCTTCAGCCTCTCCTTTTCTAAAATGGCTGCTGAAAACCCTTTTCATTTACTGTCTTGACTTGCTGCTGAAAACCTGTCCTTCCTCCTTCCCTTGAATCATCTCACCGGCTAATCAAAATCCTCATCTACTTGACAATTGTTAGCTACCCTTATATGCCAATTCAGACCTGAACAATCAATTTGTTCTGTGCAGTAAGCAAATATTTCTCTACAAGGGCTTTTGGGTGAATAACAGACTGTTGATGTTAGGTGTAACTTCTGTTGTTAGTAACATGAACTTTACACAAAGACAGAGGTTCAAATACTGCAAAAGATAACTCTATATAACCAAAATACAGCTTAGAGAATGACACAGATATTCACAGAGAATCTTCAGGTTCCCATTACCTTCCTTATTTCTTTGTTTACTGGCTTCAACAAGGAATGTATCTGTAATCTAAGGCTGTACAGGTGAGTATCACAAGACATCTTTTGCAATCTTTATTTGAATGGACAATAGGGGTGTTCATCTTGTGCCTTTGTTTGAGCTTGTAAATCATTCTGTAAACTCACGAGGGAATGCTGAGCTCAGAAATGGATGTTTCTGGATTCCATAAAAATTTTTGGAAGGCCTTCACACTAAGAAAGGCCAGGTTTTATCTGGGAAAAACGACATCACAGTTTAATAATAGAAAACACTCAAAGTGACTACATAAAACAGAGTAAAAATAAAGAGCTTTCCTAACTGTCTTAGTGTGCTTGCAGGTGGATCTTTACCTTCAGCCAGCTTTATCAACAGCAGCTTACTTCAGTGCTAGGACCCACACCACAAAAGTCTTCTGTGACAAAAACTTCCTTGAGGTTATCATTTGTCAGGGTACAAAGAAAGATTCAAAGGCACATATTTTCACCCTGTTCCATTACAGATTCTGAGGAAGGGCCTTAATCTTACCAAAATTTGGCTTACAGACCAACTTACTGCTTCTCATTTCAGCCTCAGTGAATTGTACCCCATAATGTTCAAGATGTCACATAATTCAAAACAAAGGGTGAAGTTAAACTCAAGGCTGCAGATCTGATCACTAGCAAGCACAGCATAGAATCTGTAAAAGGAAACAGAGCAGTTTGCTAAACTAGGCAATATATCAATCCTTTATGCTATGTACACTTTATTTACAGGGCATTTGAAGATTCAGAATGATGATGAATGAAGCTGCAAAACACAGTATGACTTTCATCACTTAAGGCGGGGAGCAGAATAAAACTTATTTGTGATTTTATCTTTTTTAACCAATCCCTAATAGTGAATTCAGAGGCATTCCTTTTTGTTTATTCAGTCTTGTTCCTTATCACCTTTCCAGATTCTGCTTCAGTTTATAGCCCCATGTCTGCTCAGTGAATTTGGTTAGTACTCTGTTTTACATGCACCACTGCATGGGTAGAGAGGAAGTTTTACCAAGGTTGACAGATGCTAACCTACACGACGAAGAGAAGTTACTGTGACTTCCTAGTTCAGCAAACTACTATTCTTCCGTGGTATTAGTTTGAACAATATCAAAACTGCAATAAAAAGTGCATTTTCCACAAGAAAGACAAGAGAAAGAGCATCATAATATTTTTTCAAATATAGATGTTTTCTCTTCTCTCATAGTCTTCATGGAATTCAGCAGTAGTGCCAACCACAGAAAGAGTCACGTAATACAACCATCAGTTAGTCACTCTGACCTAACATTTAATAGGTTCTTTTATATATAGATTTGTCTCTATGTATATGTGTTTCTTGTAAAGTACTTGCTATTTCTACTGCCAAAAAGTCACCAGTCCCTATGATCTGATCTCTTAGCAAAAACATTGTCAAGTGTCATCTGATTTTAATTTCCAGAAATCCACCATCAGTTGTGCATTCTCCTTGCTTAAAAGTAACTTTTATGAGTAAAAAAGAATATTTTTATATTTCTTTTCATCACGTATCTTAACACGCACAAGCAATGTCACTTCAGTGTCACAAACTGGCTATTCTATCTCTCTCTTTTCTTTTTCTATAAAGAAAATATTAATATGATAATGAATGGTTGCTCAAGATCCTGCTCAGTTTTGCTGAGTGCTAGGAGAAGAAAGTCAAAGTGCATTTGGATTTTCATTTGTACGGTTCAATTTCTTACTGTAACTACTCAGCAACTTTTTAAACCAAATAAAGCAAAGAATTATGGAATGGACATATTCTACATGATGAAGTCATCATTCCTAAGCCATAGTGCTATATTTAAATTGTTTACTGAGCTACAGTATCCCACTCTGGTATCAAGAGCAATTCAGAGTCATTGATGGAAAAGAAGAAATACCAACCACATTTCCCCCCTTACCTTAGCATTGTACAGTATCAATTATTTCCCACACTGCAAGAAGGAAAATGTACATTCTTACCCCACAGCCTATTCCATTGCCTGGTTCACACACAATTTTCTTCAACCCTGGCTCAGGAAGCAAACCGGCTCCACAGCTGGGCGTTGGACACAGCACTCCTCCCATCTGCAGCACACATTCCTCAGCCCCATAGCGCTGGTAGCGGTTGTACTGCAACACAACAGACTGGTGTTAAACTTCCAACAGCACACAAAATAAAACTCAAAAAATTTGAGCTTGACGCTAGTCCACATAATTGAGTCAACTGTCCTAATGTCTCACATTCTAAGTTCAGGTTATTTGTCAAAAGTGTAAAACTTCACAGTGTCGTTAAGTTGGGGTGTTCCTCCACTCCAGCTCACATCATACACATCGTTTTCTGGCTCACAGCTGTCATTTTCATCACCAGAAAATTGCATGAGATATTAAACCCAAGAAAACAGCAGACTGTTTCTGTAAGTAACCTCCAGTACTCTTATATTACTATAAAAAATTACTGTAAACATCATAAAACTAGTCCAACAGATAACTGATAAATGCTGTATACAGAATGAAAAGAACACACGGAAAAACCTTCAAGGATCTATAGCTAGAAGTACAGTGTAATGTTTTAGAGCTAAAGGGCTGTAAAAATTTGCCTAGTCAAACTTATTTTAAAAGTAAGCTGATCATTAGGTTGATGATTAAACAAAATAAGATTATTAAACAAAATAATTCTCTGATATAAATTTATTTCAATGCTACGTATATTTTGGTCTCCCCTGGAAATTTTCTTTTTTTTTTACACTTTTCATCTAATTACATCCTAATACCCTAAAAAGCCATGGAAATGCCTTCATTTTAACAATGGAGACACTGACACACAACAATATTAACATGCTCAGTTTACACTCACTGAAAAAAACGCCGGTTCTAAAATGATTGATGCCACTGCAACAACTTTCCCATGTCTAATTTACCCTGCTTTCACCCAGAGATAAGCTGAGCAAGTACAAATCATGCCGCATCCATGTAAATCACATCCACTCTAGGGTTCTGTGTTGGTGTGGTTCCACACTAGTGGCTATATAACCACTGTAAACCAGGTTTCAGATTTGCCTATAAGTCTGGTCTATTGTGGAGAGAAATAAGTGAAAGCATTTGGTTCTAACAGTCCCAAAGAAAACAGGAAAATCCAAAAGGCCAAAGAGGAAGAGAGTAGGTATGAATTTTCTCTGAGAGAAGACTTTATGGTGTGCTAAAGGAACAAAACAGAGCTTTATGTTAGAGCACTCACAACAGTATTTAGTGCTTCATAAGCTTTTATCCCATAACTGCTTATGAAAATCTTGTTCCCTTTTTTTGGAGGGATAACAAACAAAAAAATTATTTCTCTAATCCACATTCCTCTCCAAAGAAATCCCACAAGGAAAATGGAAGCTTTAGGACCAACACCTCTACACATAGCATACAAAGAAGAATTTTAAATTACGAAGATGGTTCTAATACGTATTTTCTGGGTACATTTAAGAAGATTCTTCTCCAAATGTTGCCATAACATATTTTGTTACATTGGCTTTTTAAAAAAATGATATTAGCATTCTTAAAAGACTATAATATATAGACACAAACCCTTTCATCACAGAAAAACAAATTACCAGACTTAAAGTATCCACCTTTGTTAATTAACAAAAAATCCAAATAAAATTGCTCTCAAAAGAAAGGCAAAATCTAAAAGGAGAAAGAGACTTCAAAATATCACTCAGTGTACAAATGACAGCCAGAAATTCTGAATACAGAATCTTGGATTTGGAAAATAATAATATTTTGAGAAAGGTACAAGATGTGTCTCCTTGAGTGTGGGGGCTCAAGAAGTCAACTGGTGTTTTACTGTGTTATTATTATAGTCGACCCTAGAGAAATGGCATAAATATTTAATGTTGGATGCTCTGAATTTTCAGCAGTTTGTGATCCTTGCACTAAATACCTGCTGAGTGCTCTGAGTCATTCTGATGGCCAGAAATACAGGTAATCACAGGTGCAAAACTTGCTGTTGACCTAATTTTTCTTCAGGGGACAGACTGGACCTGAAGGTTAAGAGCGAACTTTGTGCTGGATGTGGGATTGTTAGCAGGTTCTCATTATGAAGGCAAACACCAGTGACACTGTAGCTGAGATTCTGCCAGCATTTCCATTAAAAATTCTCAGCTAAAAAAAAGATTATGCTTTCCAGCCCTTAACTTAGCATGAAAGGCCATGGAGAGATAGATTCCTCCCATCTCCTCTGTATTTTTTTGGGGATACACAAAAGTGGAAGTTAGGTAAAATGGGAATCAATTTGTCTTGTTAGAGAAAGATACAGAAAGGAAATGCCCAGTTTACCTACTGGCAAGATGGACAAAGCTATCGCATTCTGTCCAACAGATTAGACATTTTATGGCACTTCAGCATAGCACTCATGCCAAATCAGGATGGCACTCTCACCAGTGATTTTCACACTATAAAAGCAAAAAAAAGGTCCAATGTGAAGACAGAAAAGATCCTATTAAATGTATTTGCATATCTTGACATCTAGTTACCAGCTGTTTTCTAACTTCAAAGTCCAGATACAATCATAAGATGTCATTTTCCAATTTCTTTTTTCCTTGTGTCTTGGTAAATTAAAACCCAGCAATGGACTGAAACACACAGTAGCAGAACATACACATTTGCTGCCATAACACAATTATGCACAACAGATGTGGATTTATATCCTTTATTCAGTGGCCCGAAACAAAATTATTCACTTTACACTAAGGGTGCATTATAAAAGGCTTGTAAAGGACCAAAATATTTATTAATAAATTATTAATTATTTGCATATAGTGACAGATTATAGTTATTAGAGGCATTTTTCCTATATACCACAGCCATACATATCACACCAGACTGATGTAATCAATATGCACTAAGCAAGTTATTTTTCAATAGCTCTTAAATGTCTTTGGAGCCCATGATCTACTTCTGATGAAATGTCTGGATAAAATATTTAAGGATATTACACCATTGGTTTGCTTGACTCTCAACTGGAGATCTAAAGTAGGATTCATTTAATTTAGTTTGGATTTCTGCAGTGATGATGCTGTAGTTGCACTGGTTGCATAGACTTTTACAATTAACAGGAGAGAGAGGATGCGATTCTTCTTTTCTCTTTTTGATTTGTACATCAGCATGAGAAGAACTGAGCCCTGAAGTGCCCTGTTCTATTAATAATAATGAGAGATCAGACACCTTGCTAGATAATGACACCGGAAATTAGGTGACTCTCACAATAGCTGCTTCAGTTCCAACAATTCTAATCCTAACTCACCTGGCATAAGCTATTCTTAAAACCAAGGTCTATGTATCTAAACACCTTGGACTATGAACCACCTCACAGAATTTTAGGTCTTCAAAAATTAAACATCTAACCTAAACAATTCATATAGACTCCAAATGAATAAGAAACAAGATCTCAATAAGGGAATTTGTCCTGACTTGCATATGATGTCTATGATAGGTAGGATGAATCACCTTGTGGAAGTGCTATAGTTGAAGCTGAGAAAACTAACTTAGGCTAGATATCTAACATGTAAAGAGCCGTTATTAAAAGATTAATCTAACTCTTCTGTACATTCAAAGTATTTCACAGTATCTATTACTCAATTTTTATCAATATGCCTCCCATTTAGAGATGCACTCATCATGTGCAAAATGGTTTTGCACACTACAAGGAAGAAAAATATCTCCAATTATTTTTAGGAAAACCTCTCACAAAGTATAATATATGGGGAACTTGATGGAACTGGCATTCATGGCACCTGATTTCATTCCTGGCAGCAGCACAGCTTTCCTGTGGCTTTCACATAAGTCACTTAATCTATGCTTCTCATCAGTTACCCATTTGTAAAGAGGAAGAATGATACTTGCTGCTTTCACTGTAATGTTAAGAGGCAAAATCCATTAATAGTCATGAGAACATCAAATACTATGGTAATGAGCAGGATAAAATTACACAGAAATCACCAGCCGTCTGCTGCTGCTAGAAAGCAGCTTTTGAGTAAAGCATGTCAGGCATCTATGTGCTACTGTAATAATGTCCTCAGAAATACAGGTAGGCAAGTAGTTGCTGGATTCACCAAATAACCATATTTTACAATACTTATTTGAAAAAAAAAACAACTTCAAAAATATGATTTATTCTAAATCACTGGTGCTAAGACAGCAAAAGGTATATGAACAAGGTAGTTGTAAAACATTCTGTTTTTTCTCTGAAAACTGCATTCCATTGTGAATCTTCCCCACAATTTGTGAATTGTCCCAGTCAGTCCAAGTCTGTACTTTTCAGGAAATAAAATTTCAAGTGGAAAAAACTCCCAGCTCTACTTATGGTATTTTGACCATATAATGAAGTTCTTTTGTGCAGTCTTTGCCTGTGAAGACTTGTCAGGGCCTTTAGATTATAAATTATAGTATGACACAGACACAGAAACTGGATAATAGTAAGCATTTATTCCTTGTTCTCCACTTTCCAGACTGGAATCGTTTCCCTCAATTCTTAGAAGAGTACTGGGTTTTAAACCAGTGGAAATGCAATTAGTTGATGTTATAAATCAAGGATAATATAATGAAATTATTGGGCTGACACAGGAATAATAGGTTTAACTGTATTGCAGTCTTTTCACTTAGTTTGAGATTCAGATACTAAAACAAAACTGAATTGCACCTGGATGCACAAAACTCCTGCAAAATACACTTTGAGAACACAAAAGTATTTCTCGTCGTGTCAGTTAATTTGCAAATTATGCATTAACATCATGAACTCATAGAATGATTTGGGTTGGAAGAGACCGTAAAAGATCATCTGTCCCAACTCCTCTGCCACAGCACACATGCCTTGAGCTACTTTAATTTTGCTTTTACCCTTTGGGTATCATTTTCTTTATTTACCTTTTTCCTCTTCACACCTAAAAGCATCTGCTGATTAGTAGCCTCGCAGAGAACTTTGGGCAAAAATTTAACAGTAGATGTAAAGCCAAAATTTCTAATCTCTGAAATGTAATTCAATTACTTGTTTCTTTTAACTGCATATAACAGTCTCAGAGGAAAGAAAATCTACTTTCTGTAGTCAGATTGTTTTTACTGCTCCTATAAATCAAATAACCATCTGTGTG